TCTTAAGATGATTTAACTATATAATTCATTTAACAGATTTTAAAAATTCTGGAAAGTTTTAAGAGCAAATAATATTATTTTTCCGAGAGCTTTCCGTAATCATATTGTTACGGATTTTAAATATCAAAATAACTTCAGTGAAATTGTATGTGAAATTGTAGTATTTTTTGTATAATGTACCGTGGAATGATTGAAAGTGACGAAGCTCTATAGGAAAAGTAAGATTACTGGTGCAAGCCTATTTAACATTAATGGCTATCTCGCTAAATTTGCTAGATATCACCATGCTGGCGATAGTTTTGGAGACTAATCTTTTTCTCCAAACTTTGCGACATGTTCCAGTCCTTGCATAACTATATTGGTGTTGTAATCGAATAACTATAATTGATACCTATATAACTGTAACCGCATCCGGCTATCATAAGCCTTCTAGTAATTTCGAGAAGTGGAAGGTACTAAAGATTTCTAGGCGGCTGGGGGTAAATTATATAAGACTGGAAAGAGAAACAGTTTTTCGCTTGTAGAGTACCTCACTTTGGAATTCTAAGTTAATGTTGGAAGTGAGGAATCTAAGAACTGATAAGCGAATAATCGCTTGCGTTCAGTGACAAGAAACAACAAGATAGAAGGGTAACTAACCCTTTATTATTCTAATAAGATTTAAAAAGCTCTTCCTGGGAGTGTACAAGCAAAGGACCGCACTTGGACTTGAACTAAAAAGACTAAGAATTAAACTAAAACTAAGATTAACTAAAAAGAAGTATAGCCGAAGCTATCAAGGTTCAATTAGAGTTGGCCCCTTAACTTATTTTACTACGAAGCTTAGCAAGGGCCTGAGTACGGCCGAGCGAAATAACAGCTTTGAGAGAGAGAGTGGCCAAAAAGGCGGACGCGCGTAAATCAGAAACTCTGAATTATCTGACTCAGTAAGTAACTTCGTGGTTTAAATACCGCTCCTTCTCATTAAATATTCAGAAAGATTCCAAAAGTACATTCTGGCCGGAAGTAGTAAGTTGAAGTTTAAGAATTTGACAGGAAAGGAACTTTAACTTAAAATTTAACTGTTAATAAAATTAACATAATTCTTACACGCTTATTAATTCAGTTTTAAGTACGGAGTATAAAGAGACTTCTGTATGAGCTTCGCCATTTAGATGCCTTTGCATTACGCTGTGTTTAACGTTCTTAGTATTTTGAAGTGCAACTACTGATTGTACTCTGTGATACTGAGAAGAGCTGTACGAGTATTTTGTTGAAAGTTCCAGAACTGTAAAGTGTTTCCTTTGGTAAAATAAATATCATTAAGCAATCATCGGTTTTATGTGCGCTCAATCTATTAACAACCCGAACGTATCCAACAATAATTTATGTTTTTGGATAGGAATTTGTAATATTTTCCCTTAATTCTAATCTTGTTTTAATAAGCTATAAGTAAATTTCGGAACTCTTTTCTTCTTCTACTTGCAGATAACCTAGTTTTGTAAATAAAAATCCAGATAAGGTCAGATTAACTATGTTGAGAATTTGTACAGAATTTTAGCGCAATGTTATTATGATATATCTACATTGCATTCTCTCTAAATTTTTAATCAATAACACAGTCGGAGAGCCAAATAATGAAACGGTAAATTTTCATCTTTTTTCTGAAGTTAAATTGAGTTTTGAAGCTAAAAATATTTTTAGCAGAATCTTTTCAAAATTTTGGACTGTTAACTTACGCTACGCTACCATGGTTATATGAAACGCTTGTCACAATAAGTGTTATCATTCGCTTACGTGAAAACTACTTTTTACAAATTGATATAAAAACAATAAAAACATTTCTCGGAGTCAGTTCTTTATTTTCTCTTTTAATAAGTATCTAATTGGTATACATTAAAATTCAGTTAATATAATTATAATTAATAAAAGATATCTCAGACATCACGTATTACTTACCCGGTACAGAACCACTTCGATTTTGTTTCTTAGCCCAATAAGGGGCTATTTGTTTTGAAGTGGGATTTCAGATCGTTGTCACCAAATATTATCACCCTGTATTATATTTAAAGAAATTAGAAAATTAAATTATGAAGAATATGAATGTATGTATATATTTTCCTTGCATTGTAAAAAAACAACGACAGAGTCATGGAATTTTGAATAACAGTCCTCCACCCAATCCTGTGCACGTGGAAACCCTATTTGCCTTATAATTTTGGTTCCATATTTTGTAAAATTTTAATGAATTTTTTGATTCAATTACTTGAATTCAATTCCTTGAAAGCTAGCAGTAGCAACACTTTTCGAAATAAAAAAAAAAAGTTTTTATGTCCAGCACGCGAGACTGTTACCATTCGGAAAAATGTACTCGGCTCTATAGAAGCAATGTATTAACGAGGGCGGAAATAATACCTTCATCTTCCAAGCGCCAGCCTGCTGCCATCCAGTAAAGCCTGCGATATTTTCTAATTTAATCTGGAAGGTCATTGAGTAATAAACTAGTGACTTAAAAGTGATAAACACAGTTTTTAAGAATATTTTATCATACTTTTTAATGTGATTGTTTTACTAAACATGTATGAAAAATTATGAAACGCCTAATGAGAAATATTCAATATTTTTATGAAATTACACTAGCTGGACTCATTAAAATCATCATACACATTTTTTTATTCTGAGAAGTATTTTAGGAGTCTGTCCGTTCAAGCGGCTGCTTTTTAAAGAAATAATACAGTGAAAAAAAAAACGTGTATCAACCTCTTACAATCTATCGAGCAGTTCTAAAGATACGCTGTTTTTTGAATATTTTGTGATTTTGCTGTTGAATTGAATTTTATCTGGCATTAGTGAAAACAGCGTGATATTTAATAAATAAAGTTAATATATAAAAAGTTAATAATAAAAAAACAAAGAAATGTTTTTGTCATCCATTGTACTAAGACAACCGAATATTGGTGTGATGAAGAGGAAAGGCTGAAAAAATATAAAATGTATATCAACACATTTCACTGCATTGGGAATTCTAAACATATGCTGCTGTACAGCTTATGTTTTGCTAAAAAATTTGTTTATGTTAAAACATTTTGTGATTTTGTTGAATTGTATGTGGCGTAAGTGTTAAGAAAACGCTGCTTAAAAATAAAGAGACAAAAAAAAAAAAAAAAAAAAAAAAAAAAAGGGGGTTTTACCAGGAGTGAGTTAACAGCAGACTGGTAGCTGCGAGCTCAGAGAGAGTGCAAAACGCTTAACAAACCCTTTTGGATGACCGATAAAATCTGAAATCTTTTTTCGGACTTTTTTTTTTATCATTATATCCATTTTAGTCGCCCTTGTTTTATTAGATATTATAACTTGAAGGCAATTAATATTTGTAGGTCACTAAAACAGACTTGTTAAGGACGGGAACTTGGAAAACTGAGTCCACCGGTGTCGAATTGCGTTAATCATAATTGATTGTTTATGTGAATATTTAAGAAAATCTAAGTCAGAATGGCCGAAAACGTGATATACGAATGTAATAGGTAATACCATAAAAACAATGCAAAAGAAGGATATTAATCACTTTTATTATTAAAACAAAGTTTGAAAGAAAAGAGCGTAAAGTAATAGCTTGTACTTTAGAGAAAAAATTAAAATAAAAAGGTTATTTGGCAGTTTAATAATATGTGTGGTCGCCTCTGGCAGCCACGCATGCTGCACAACGATTGCTCATATATGTTATGAGAATGTAGATGAGTTGTGCCCTCAAACTCCTCAAGCATTAAGGAGAGACCTTTTCTATTCTGAAACGGAGCTTGGTGGGTGCGGAAAAACTGCAACATGTTTCTCGAACATATTCCACATATACTCAATAGGACTAATATCAGGATATCGAGCGGGCCACTACATGCGCTGAATATTTTCACTTTTAAGGAAGTTGACCAGGATCGCACGGTGAAAAGGGACGTTATCATGCATGAATATGAATCCAAGACCGACAGCACCTCAAAGCAGGCGAACATAAGGCTTAAGGACCTTTTAGCAGTAACAGCTCCCATGTCAAAGACGTGGACGTCTGTGCAGCAATCCAGAATTATGCCTGCTCACACTACGATTTACTTTGAAAAAAAATATGTCTTTCTGTGATGTTTCCTGGGTAAAAACTAGTTCAACGATCTCTCAATATCATTATCGACAAGAATAAGTGTTCAGAGTAAGCCGAGAATCGGCACGGAACATCACATTGGCGCACTCTTGTAAACTCCAGTGCTGATGATTCAAATTTCAGTTTAGGCGAGATGCGCAGGCGTGAGAGGAATGCAAATGACTGGTCGTCTGGTATACAGACTAGCATGATGGAGTAACCTATAAATAGCTTGCTTTAAAACTCGCACTCTTTGCGGCGGCTGTGATCTCTGAACCGAATTCTGTGGCACAACAGTCCCTCTGACGTCTCTCAATCTCTGCCAAATAACAGTCTTAACGAATGGTTATTACCCTTAGTCGAATTTATACTGGTTGTTGGGTAACACCTCCCGTACTGTGAAACCTCTGGCACAGTTTTAAGATCATACACTAAGACACATTCAAAATTTGAGATACTTCGATTTGAGATCGTCCACATTCTAGCATTCCAATAATTCTTTCTTTCAAAAACATGTCCTTTTGGCATCTTTGTGCCATCCTTCGGCCTTTTTCATCATTTAACTCATTCCTCCGTACAGTATGTAACCTCCCTGATATCCGTATGGCCCTGAAACAGTTTTATTCTCTTTCTGACGTGCGCACATGTTTTGCACATGCGGACGTTGACTGAAATGTTTTGCCATATGTACACTGTTTCAACCTCAGACAATGATTCTCCAAAACTGATTTTGAACAATTCAACTAAAATTTACTCACGTTCTTTATATGTTACGATTTATGCTTAACTTTTTGACACCAGTGTGTTTGCTGAATTGTGAAACGATGAACTTGATGTAAATTTGGATAATTTTATGGATATTTTGTAATTAGTACAAATATAGCGATTACACGAGTAAAATATAATACTTTTATTCTCTTTTATCGTCAGCGAAAGAAACAAGATATTATAAACATCATGTTGCTTAAAAAATTAAGATGAACTCAGTACGCCCGCGGATTTTAGAAACATTGTCATAGAAGAAAAAGTATGTCTCTTCATCAAAGAAGCAAGTTAATTAAAAAACGACATTACACCTTAATACATTACACCTAACCTTTAAAAATTATGTTACTTATTTTGAAGAAACTGTTTTTTTTTAGTAAATGCGAATATTAAAATAGTTCAAAGATTTTAATGATTCATATTCTTCCGATTCTGTTGTCTGATAATTTAGCTATTTTATGCACTGAATACACGCAAGATGTTTATTAATATTTTGCACATTTTTATTCTTAATGACAAAAGAAAAATTGCAGTATGAAACAGAATAATTTTCTGTAGCATACTGGAAAATTACATTGCTTCATTTCTTAACAACAGCAGGTTTAATTCTATATCTATTCGAGTAACACATTCATTTAACATGAGATGTTAATCAGAAACAATTAATTTCAGTATGAAACTAGAAAAGTCTGTTCAATAATATTATTTCAACAAAGTAGGCAGTTGCATTTAGTCGTTTCTAAAGAATGGACAGCGTGCTGCTGCATCGATTCGAATTTCACATCCATTCAACATGGGATTTTCAATGATTGTCTGAACTAAATGTGCATACTCATCTGGCTTCCCTAATCTCTGAGGAAAAGGTATGCTTTTTGTTATTACCTTTATATCTTCCTCCGGAACAACATTAACAAGTGGAGTATCAAAGCTCCCTGAAAAGTTTTAAATGAGAAGTATTATCATTAACTTAAGTAAATGACTATTAAAAATTGAAAATATTCACTAATTGAGAACAGTATATGAAAAGATAGAACATTACAAACATTTAATCATTTAAAAACGTTAAATAATTTACAGATCGAAAACGTTTACAGATTAAAAAGAAAAATTACGGAATATAACCTTACAAACTGGAGAAAGTTACAGGATACGAAATAAAAAAAAAAAAATTGCTGGAATTTATAAAATGTTGAAAATTAATATTTTGCTCTTCATTTGGTTTCAAATTGAAATATTCAATGCTGACAATAAAATCGGCTATGAAGAATAAAGATATGACTGCAAGTTAGAATAAAAAGCTCACCTTTTATCTTTTGGTGCAAATTGTATGTATTCTTTTCTAGTGCGGTTAATTCTCTTATTATTTCGGGCAGAAACATGAGGTGAAGGAGTTTATAAAGATTAAGGCTTAAAAAACGTTTCTTCACAGTATCTGTATAATATAATTTTTGTACGGATATAAATTGCACTGCATATCTCTGAGCTCATATTAGTTTAAAGAAAAGGAAAATGTCAGAAAAAGTAAGTCAGAAAAGAAAAATATCCATTGCAGTTTTTACATACTTCCTTTTGCCATTTCAAAATTACATATTTTGAAAAATTCGATTAGAATACCATGAATTAAAATGAACTTATTGATATTTTTAGTTTGTAGTCGCAAAATAATTAAAAAGATAAACGGAAATTTGAAAAGTAAAGTTATCTCTGCAACCTTCCTCGTTTAAGTCAATTCACATCTAGACACGAGCCCTTCCCTAAAGAGAATAATTCCTGTTTGAAACTATAGAGTTCCGACGGAACACTTCCTCTTCTCATGCCGACTAGCACAGGGACATCACAGAATTAGACAAATTACGAATGGAATTAAGTTTCGAAGATATGTGATAAATAATCCAGCATTGCATCATAAAATCAACAATAGTGTCAAACACTTTTCGGAAAAAGACTAAGATATTTGTAAGCAATAATTGTAAAGAAAGTCTTTATTTTAGCGTGCATACTGAACAACAATTGCATGAAAATATTTTTGGAAAGACAACACAGAAACTCCTTAGGATGCTTCATTGATTGAGTAACATATTGGGACAGTACCATATGGTAAAGTCCTGATGTTTCACAAACTCATTGTTGTCCTGTGCTGTATCTAGTAAGCTCATAGAACGAAACTTAACATTACAGAATAGAAACGGATACGAAGTTTCGAATGTTGCTGGCAGACCGTGATGATTGCGCCTCAAAAGATATAATTGGTACCACTTCAAGAAATTTGTTTTCTTGTTATGACTGATTAATACGCTTAGATATTAATCTAAGCGTATTTTGAAATATTTACAAGAATGGAATAAAACTGAGATTTTATATGAAATAAATGGATCCACGGCATGCCCGGCAGCAATACTGCCTCGTTCAAGTACATGTAATCAGCTTAAATAAACAGTTATTCCACTTAAGTTCATCTTATCCACCTACAAGCATAGTTTCCCTAGCACTGGCGTTATTGTCCATCATTGTGTACTGCAGAGATCTGGGGGGGGGAAGAGGGCTTTACTGCTTCAAATGCAGCAATGAGTCGCTGAAAAGCAAGTAGGATGTAAGAACACACTTGGATTGGTCTAGTTTATTTGGTTACAGGGAAGAACACGAGGACTATCTGCTTAAGGGAAAGAATAACTTTGTGGAGAACTTTCTAAGGGAAATTGGCTCGTATATACGCTACATACAAGATTCTTCAACTTCCAGGATGCTGCAATTTCACCGTTAGACCGCCTGCGGGCTGAACACGCTTGGAAAATTTGATTAATTAAGCTCTGTTTTAAGAATAATTAACTTTTTTTAACCTTTAAGCACTCATTTTATTATACAAATACTGGAATTTACAAGAATCATACAGTCGATCCTTCATGCATGTTAGTCCAAGTTCTGCATGGGCTTAAAATTTTATTCAAAAGAAATGGAAGTACAATATATAAGCCTAAAATTCTGTGGATGGGGCTAAATGCCTATACTTGCAGTAACATTCAGTGCATTTACGTAAGTTCATTCTTCCTACACATTCTACTGTGCGCCATATGATGGCAAGAATTTTTTTTTTTTTTCAAATGCATGAAAATGTTTTGAGAAATTTTTAATACTTACCATTCCGTTTCCATATTCTGTGATAATGTTAAGTTAATATAGTAATGTGATGCAATAAGTGCAATAATTGTCTAAAACGACGGGAAAATTATAATCTATAACATAATTTCAAATTATGTAATCTACAGTCCACTAATGAAAAACTCTTCTGAGTTCATGTTACACTATGCAATTTTATTCAACCAAAAATACTTATCTCTACCTTTATGACGAAAATATTAATAGGTTAAGACGCGCTCGCCTTTATAAAATCGCTTTCACAGCATACTGTAGAAAACCTAATACCTTAAAAAAAAAAAAAAAAAAAAAAAAAAAAAAAAAAAAAAAAAAAAAAATCGAAACTTCTGAGTAAAGCGATGTTTAATTTAAAGAAAAAGTACTCTCCTTGATTAAACTTTGCTTAGGAATATAAAGTTAGCAACTTCCAGCAAAATATTATAAAGCCGATAATGAATAAAATACGGTAACTTGCTTCAGTTTGAAAAGGGAAAGCTTGTATCCAATAATGCCAATGTTGGTTATATTAGACTGACTCGGCCAACACTTGCCAAAGCCAACCAAATATACACAACACTGTATTAATCTTTGTTTTTTCCCGAAGAATTAATACATTTTTTGTTTTGACTAAAGACTGTATACCTGGTTAGATGTACATATAGATATCTAAAATGTTTATATGAAATGAGATTTTCATACAAAGGACTGTAACTCTCGAGCTATGGATCTAGTTTTGCGACAATGGCATCAAGAAAGCGAGCGATATTATTTTCAAAACAATCATCAGCTGAACAGCGACAGGCATTGCCAGTTTATCTTATCTATCCAGTTAATTGTGAGTCCACAAATTAAGCTTGTTAACTCAGTGACAGCGACAGCCTTGTTGAGAAGAGAAATGGAGTTGTCCCGATATTAATTACAGGTTATTTGTCTCTAAAATGCGAATACTGCTATGCTCTTTCATTTGCTGCTGAGGAAGAATGTATAGGACATAATTGAGTTCAACATTGCGAAGGTAAACTTTGTATCCAACCTATTATGTTCTAGCAGTCAAACAAAAGTTGATACTTCCTTGTTAAAACTATCACCACACTTAGTCTCAATATTTGGCAGACTTAAATGCCCGATTTGCAACATGTCAGAGGATTACACATCGATCGCGTTAGGAAACAATTAGCCAAATATTTGTTTCTGGGCAATAATCCGTAAAATGTATTTAAAAGAAATTGTGTACAATTTTACGATACTGTATTTGTTTTGGATCATTTCCTGCATCAAATTAAAAAATTTTTAGTTAGCATGGAAAAAACGTAGTTTTTTATACTCCCTCTATCCCATAATTTTAATAGCAAAAAAAAAAAAAAAAATAAATACTGAACGTAACATTTACTATCAAAACACTAAATAAAATTAAACAATAAATTAAAAATATGACGCCTAATTTTTGTTTTGAGTGTTCAAATATTTTCTGGATTTTGCACGTTGCTGCATTTTGAACATTTAAATACGATCTTTCGGTTGCGAAGCTTTGCTCTGCTTGTATACGTGAATTTAAATTTACTGGAGCCATCGTTATTTAATTCTTCTAATATGACTCGCTGAAGTGAAAGAAACGTATTATCCAGTATGTCGGAAGAACTACACTCATGTTCATAAATTAAGAATAATTCGGAGTCACGCGGAGATCGAACTCTAAAATAAATATATCACCTGTAAAATCACTACACACATCTTCAAGAATCATATGCAAATTTCAGGAAGTAACCAGATGCCACCGATGATACGTCACAATGACGAGAGTGTAAGAGAGTGATATATAAGGAATACAGGCAAAGAAGTAAAATTGTTTCCAGGCGCTTTATAAGCATTTCAGTGCAATAACCGAATAGTTATGACACAAAGACACATTTGGATGATTTTCTACGTGGTAGAATTATCGGCCGTCTGGAATGTGGGCGTACCCAACTGGAAGTATCAGACGAACTTGGAATTGCCCAGAGTGTCATCTCCAGGCTTTGCAACGATTCCAAGATGATGGTAATGTGAGTAGACGTTACAGCACAGGTCGCCCCAGAGTTACAACGCCGAATGAGGACCGGTATTTGGAAGTTACTGCCAAAAGAAACAGGCGGAGCACAGCCTCAGACCTGTCTCCTCAGCTCTCTTCAGCCACTGGTACGACAATTTCAAGGCAGACCGTGTACAGACACTTAGGGCAGATTGGTCTATATGCTCGTAGACCTGTCAGATGCGTTCCATTTACTACAATTCACTGTCGCCTGCGGTTAGCCTGGAGGAGAGCATGCATTGTGGACACCGCAACAGTGGGCTTGTGTGATGCTTTCCGACGAGTCCAGGTTTAGCTTGCAGTCTGATTCTCGCCGGACATTCATATGGAGAGCTCCAGGTACTCGTTACCACCAAGAAAACATCAGTGAACGACACCGTTACGGTGGTGCAGGAGTGCTCGTTTAGGTGGAATTATTCTGGGTTTCAGAACTGACCTGCATGTTCAAATTGGAACCATGACAAGCCAAATCTATCAGGATGCCATTCTGGAACAACATGTACGTTTGTTTCGGGGCGACATGGGCGCACAATTTGTGTTTATGGATGACAACGCTCGTCCTCACCGTGCAAACATCGTAAGCGAATGCCTTCAATCGGAGGATATCACCCGTATGGACTGGCCAGCATTCTCACCGGACTTGATTCCAGTAGAGCACGTGTGGGATATGCTTGGCCGACGAGTTGCAGCCCATCAACCTCCTCCTACATGTCTACCAGAACTTCGGAGAGCATTGCTTTTTGAGTGGTGTAATATCCCCCAAGATCAGATCGATAATTTGATACTCAGCATGCCTAGGCATTGTACGGACTGTATTGCATGGTCTGGGAGACATACAATGTATTAACAATCATACCAACCATGTAATATATATATATATATATATATTTTGTTAATAGGGTGTTTTTTTTTTTTTTTTTAATTTGCTGGAGGGAGAAAAATTGCTAATTTTTTTTATAATATCAAACATATAACATCTTTTTTGCTCTTTACCTTTTGTTTAATAAATAAGCTTTTTGTTTTGCTTCTAACTCTTCCTTTGCCTGATTTTGCATTATCCTTAATTTATGGACATGAGTGTATTAACATAGCCTTTATACTGGTGTGCAAAAGTTAAGGACGAGACAGTTTTTTCAATATAACTTTGTACAAAAGCTTTCCAAATCAACACATTTAATACCGTAAGATCCCCAATACGTAAGGACATGAGTAATGTAAGCAACACTTACTAAAAGAGAAATCAGAGGGATAAAAAGAAGCGTTATTGAAAAAGTAGCATGGAGCGCAATGCGACTGAAGGCCGAAACATCCCTGTGATGGGTGTCCAGCAAGAAACATCCGGTCTTTAATAGGGGATAAGAACCCCCCTGACTGCTAGGCAGGTTTCACAGCGTCTGCCCATGCTGAGAATGAGGGTGTCAATGAGTTGTTGAGGCATTGCTGCCCATTCGTCTTGCAGCGCCAATCGAAGCTCCGGAATCGTTACTGGTGGTAAGGTACGAGCTGCCAAACGTCTGCCTAGAAAATCCCATACATGCTCGATGGGATTGAGATCCGGAGATCGTGCCGGCCAATCCATACGTTCAATATCCTCACTCTCTAAGAGCTGTTCGGCAGCTACTGTGCGATGACATGGTGCATTGTCGTCCATGAAAAGGAACTGCGGACCCATAGCGCCTCTAAAAAGACACACATATGGAAGAAGAATCTCGTTACAATAACGGGTCCCGTTGACTGAACCTGCGTCGAAGATGTGAAGGTCTGTACGACTACCAAGCATGATGCCTCCCCAAACGAGAACACCGCCACCTCCATACCTGTCCCTTTCAATGATGTTCGAGGGATGATTGCGGCTTCCCCGCTCTCTCCAGATGAGTATGCGATGAGAATCGCTACTCAGACTGAATCTGCTCTCATCTGTAAAGAGTACTCGTCCCCATTTCATTGTCTCTCCAATTCCGGTGTTCCCGGCACCACAGAGAAAGCCTTCTCCGATGGGCAGGCGTTAGAGATACATGCCGTACAGGGCGTCGTGCAAACAGACCACCACCGTGCAGTCTTCTGGCCACGGTAAAACGCGATATCGGTCGTCCAGTCGCCTGTGTCGCGTGTCTGGCGATTTCTCCCGCTGTCTGCCGCCTGTTTCTTCTGGCCTGTAAGGCAATATACCGGTCATCTGCGGGTGTGGTTCCTCGTGGACGACCACTACTAAACCCCCGGATAGCTGTTCCTGTAGTTTGAAATTGTCTCCAAAGTCGTGAAACGATGCTGTGAGCAATTCCGAACTCTGCAGCCACACTTGCCACACTGCGGCCTTCCTCCAACTTCCCAATGATTCGACCTCGGGTAAAAGCATCCAGATGTCGTCTAACAGATTGATTATTCGCCATTTCTCGCTGAGGCAGCAACTCGTTGTGATTTTAACTGCTATACGGCGTGCAATCTCTTTGCCAGAAATACTGATCTTACACCGACAACATGCTTTATACTACTCAGACACTCCCCCATTACGTCTACCTGCATATCTGCGCATGTGCTACCGTACATCACCTTACTTAATCTCCTGATTGGTCTTTCTGTCCGCTCTACCTCTTCGTTCATCTGATATGCTAATTTTTCGACTTCGTCCTTAATTTTTGCACACCAGTGTACTTACTGTCTCTGTGGTGCATCTTCTGCTAAGAGGAATATGTCTTAAGTTTTTCCTGTTTTTCTTCATAATCTTTGCATTAACCTACACAGTTTTGTTTCTTCAAAGGATCAGCATTAGCATAAGATTCACTCTGACAATTGATTTCGGACGCACATTTCCAAATTCTTGTAATTGCGTTCATGATGTAATTGGATTCTTGAACTTTTAGTTTTCTTTTGATGCATCAAGAACTAAAAAATCGCAACTCGATTTTTGCTTGAAAACTCTCTTCTTTTTCACTTTTATAATTAATTGATATTCAGCTGAAATAAAACAATTATTTTTATCAGCGGATGAAATTAGAAAAAAAATTATAATTCTTAATAATTAGATTAACCTTGTAGAGACATTAGGATTTTTTGGAACAAGAGAGATTAAAAAATTAGCAACGCCTTCGCCGGGAATCGAACCACCGACCTCTGAAATACCGGCTCAGTGGGCTGACTACGACACCACGAAGGCACTCTAGGAAAGCGGGAGGAAATACCTTATAACCTAAAAACTGAAAGATGTGTCAAAAAAATTACAGATGTTATGAAACGTTGATTTTGATTGAAGTGTTCGAAATTTTGGCCTACAATATAACTTACAGCTGCAGTTGCAAATAAAAATATTCAGTTGCTACTATTATTATGGGAGAGAGGGAGTACCTCAAATAAATACAAGAAAATTTAGGCATAGTAGAACGCTTCTTAATCTAAGCATTAGAGAATTATCAATTTTTAATTTTAGAAGCTATGAATAAATTGAAAATAACCTGGAGATATGGTAACGACGCGAATTCCTTCACTTTCTAAATCTCTGGCCAACGGAAGAGTCATTCCAATTAATCCCGCTTTGCTAGCACCATAAGCTGATACACCTGGCATGCCATCAAAGGCAGCTAAGCTTGAAGTGTTAATAATGACACCCTTCTGCCCATCTTGATCAGGCCGGTTTTTTGCCATTAGCCCAACAGCAAGACGTATGACGTTGAATGAACCAGCGAGATTAACCTAAAAAAGATAATAAAACATTGTTTAGTCATTTGAATTCAAACCTGGCATTAATAAAAGAGCTGAAATATGAAAATTTTTCAGATTAACAATATTTTCTGTGTACAAGCTATAAAACGTGTCATATTCCAAATTTAATCTACTGAGTAATATATTTTAGTTTATGACTTGGCAAAGTTCGGGAGCACAAGACTTTCAATAACTACATTCTTCTTTTTGGAAGGGAGTTTAGTAAAATATAGATTTTATATGAAGATAAAATAAATGTTTTTTAATAGGAAGTTGGTTATCCATATACAACTGAAAATTATAAGAATTATTTTTTTAAAACATATTAAAGCTAATAATATTTCTAAAGCACTTTAAGCAAATATTTATATTTATTCTACGGTTAAATAAACTATTTTATTAGAAAACAAGATGGAAATTTTATTAAAATTTTAGGATACTAAGCCGCAGATTTGTAGTCTTAAAATATGGCAAATTTCAACATGATTAATAAGCGAGACATTCAAGTAATATCCTTTAACTCTTTCACGACTACCAGTTATATCCGGTATCTAATAAATGCTTCATACTGACTATCGTCGGTTACATGCGGCAGCCACAAAATCTGAAAAGAAAAAAAGGCAATTAGCCAAAGAGACTAATTCTGAAAGCTGTGATGAATCATATCTAAGAACGACTCGTTGGAGAAAAGGTGATTAACTGTTCTGATATACAGAAGAGAATCTGAAGATGCGGGTGATGTCAATGTACGAAATACCAACCGGTTATAATTTGTCAGTCTAATGAAAATGAGTTTCGCTGTTGTAAAAGGGTTAAAAATGGCGCAAAATCAGAACTTAATTTCCAAAGATAGAAGTGTCGGAACACTATGAAAGACCATTATGAAAGAAAAATAAATAAATAAAAATAAAAACTAGAAAATAACTAAATAATTAAAACTCCATAAAATGTAAAGCGATAGATGAAAGTTTAATAAATTTTTTAATTAATGATAAATAAAAAAATAATGAAATAAAATATTGTACCTCGTCTTATTTGGGGCTCTGGCTGAATTTAAGCTCTGAATATAAGTAATAAAATAAACTATTTCGAGGCATGATAAAAACAAAGATCATTCGTTTTCCAGCACGCCAATGAAGAAAGTTAAACTAAATTTCACTAATGAGAACGCTCTTACGTTATAATGTGTGAGGAAATTTTAGCGGAGGATGCGTAGATATGAAGAGAAAGAGAGAAGCTTCCAGCACTTTCTGAACAGAATCCCTTGTTGCTTGAGTTCTCTACTGTCAAACAAAATATGACAGGGAGGAAAACATTTTCCCGAATTCGATGGTTAGCTGAGAACAAAGTAACTAATGACACCTCCCCATTTGGTTATTTCGTTTGAAAATGACTGCAAGTGCTGTTTTCCATGGGATGATACTAGTGTTATAATGAAAATTATCAATTTCCATGGGATGATACTAGTGTATAATGAAATGATACTAGTGTTACATGAAAACACTAGTAACATATGATACTAGTGTTATAATGAAAATAAAAAATTGGGGGGGGGGTTGCAACCAATTTACAAATAACTCATTTATATTAATTAAATATAAGCCAAAAACTTTCCAATTTTAAAACAGTCTTCATTCAGCAATTAATTCAAACTACAAGTCTAATCCTCCTTGATGTTTTCAGCTAACAGATAATTTTTTTTTTTTTTTTGAGTTCTAGTACTTAGTAAAAGGTTTAAGATCTCAGTTTGCGAATTTATCTTTCTTTACTATTTCGGCAATTTAAGTATTAAATATCTTTCTGAAAAAAATTAAATTTTTGTTCGAAAAAAGCTAATTTACCGATGCATGAAACACAATGAATTTTATGTCACATGTACTAGCAAATTAATTTTAATTTATTGTTACTGATATAAAGAAATCGGATAATTCAGGTATTACCAAATTTCTTTATGTCGTATTTTGCAAAATATTTTACTTTCGAAAAAATCAACAAACAGATTATTTGGATTTTTTACTTCAAATAAAAAATACTTACGCTTATGATTTTCATAAAATCTTCTAAAGGATGCGGAACCTCTTTTTTGAAATCATATACTGGTATGTATTTAAGTATTGCAGCACAGTTTACTACAGCATCTAATTTGTGGAATTTTTCTTTCGTTATTCTTAAAGCTTCTTGGACATCACTTTCTTTCGAGATCTGTGAATAAAAGAGTAATAAACAGAATATTAATAATAGCTTAATTGCAACATGACTAAGAAAAGTGCGCAGGATGCAATTTCTTTAAATGCAAAAACAGTCTTCAAAGTTTGCTTCATCATAGAATTTATGAATTTGATTTTACAAACAATGTAAATTTTATATTTAGAAAAAGAAAAAAAAAATGTATCAATGTCCAAAGATGGCAAGATTCTCACTCGAAATGATGATTTTTAAAATTAGAGATAGTCCTGTAAGGTTTTTATTGAGCTTGATCGTCAGCATCGAAATCAAGTAAAGATATGTTATGCCAATCATAGACAATGAATGATATGGGAAAAATATGCATAGTTGTTTTACTACTGGAACTTCCACCCATATTCCTTCAGCTAATGTACACTGAATTACAAATGCTTTCTCTTAGAATGCTCTAATGAAATAATACGAGAATATTGGGCAAAGTTAATCGAAAGGTTTTTCCACAATATAGAAAAATGAAGTTTCTTAGACTAAAAATTATTCTGAATCAGCAATTCAGTAAGTTGTACTAACAATTAGTTAGTTTTAAGCTAAATTCTATCGTATTGTTTTTGGCTACTTGCGATAATCGCTTAGATTGCAATATTTATGCAAACTGAATGGCAAACAACATAAAAGTTTAAAAAAGAATATTATTCCTAATCGGAGCTTACATGGCGTTCTTGCCTTCTTGCGCCTAACTCCTCAACAATAACTGTGGAGCAGACATTGAGGTTTATTAGTTATGCTTATTAATATGTTTAAGAAGTAGGTTATATTGGAATCGACTCAGGTGCTGTACGTTTGGATGCAGGTTATTGTTGGAGCAATTAAAACCATCGCTGTCAAGGTAAAGGACCTGCAGTGTATGTTTCTGCAAGAGAAGATCAATAATCATGGTTTACCTTACTATTTTAAATTTTGTAAAATTGATCAAGAGGGTTAATAAAGTTTTGATTTGAATTTTTACTTGAGTTCTAAGCTATATAGTTAAAACTTCTATAAATAGTCGTTTGGTAATAAGGCTACGTTATTTCTCATCACAGAAATTGTAACTCTATTAAAATTTTTCATTTCGTCAAAAGACTTTATGCAGATTGAGATACATGGAAACTAGTAGTCCCATTCAATTTCCTACACATATACTGTTATTTTATACGGCTAGGGAGGCAACGTTACTCGCGTCCGTAGCATTCCTTAAGCTACACGTACTTCCTTAGTAATGCTGAATGGGTACCAACTTTGCAGCCGAGATCCTATTCTAATTATTGTTCATCCGGACTGCTACGTTCATGAGGTGTAAGCAGGATTCGCTGCACATTATGCAGTGGAATGTAGACAGACTTACTTAATCTAAAAGAACCGAACTTTTGAAGATTTTAAATGATAAAAAGGTTGATATCTTTATTATTATGCAGGCAATCAGAGTGCAGACGGGTATGGAAAGATTTTCCTTCCCTGACTCTCTCTCTCTCAGTATATATATATATATATTTTAAAAAACATGTATATACGTAAAAAAGCAAATTTAAAGTAAAATAATTTAAAATGTGCAAACATATAAAAAATTTAATTTTCGAACTAATCTACATATCATTAAATCAGAAGCATAAATCAAGTACAAAACCAAACCACATAAAATAAATTCACCAATTTAAATTAAAATTAATCTAAAAAAATTTTTTTTTAAATGCATAGTGAATGATGTTGAGCAGGCAGGAGACAGACTTATAAGTGGAAGTTGCCTCCAAAACTAACTCTTCAATCATTCAATTCTTGTTTCGTCATTCATGACGGCAAGGGTAAAGTCAAACCAAAAGTAAAGAGTGAAGAATGTCCAAAAAGAAATACCAATAAAGTGGTACCTTTAGAATTAGCAATTAAAAATTAAAGTTTAAAGGGAAAATACCAATGAAGTTTTTTAAGAAATAAGCAATGTAAAGTCTAGTATTAAATTAAACTTTTAAAAAATAATTAATTTTTTTAAAAAATTAATTTTTCAAGAAATTAATTTATAAACCAATGCATTTAAGAAATCCTTGTCTATAAAACCTCCCCGACACGAATATGCATATCAATAAAAAGAAACTAAAAGGAACTAACAAAATTTATATTAACCAATAAGAAACAAAAAGAACTAATTCATAATTTATAAAAAATAAATATATACTGAAAAATATAATTTCATATATGAAATACTTAAATACTACATAAAAAATACTTAAAAAATACTTAAAGCAAGTAAATAGTAAGTTTTAATTCTAACTTACCTACTATATTAGCGTTGGGGTCTGCAAAAGTATTTCCAAAATGATGTAAGTGTGTTCTGCAAATTATATAGATGGCGCTTATGTAAGTAAAGTTGAGTGCCAAGCTGCATTCTTTGTTTTATTAAAAATTTTTTGTAAACTTTAAGATTAAAAAATTAAAATAATATAAATCTAGAAAAAAATTAAATATCCTAAAAGTATGTAATTCAAGTTTTAATTTTAACTGATTAACTATTTATGGTAGGGAGTTTAGTAGCTGAGCCAATCAAGAGATGTAAGTATGTTTTACAAATACCATAAAAAGAGTACTAATTGAAGTCAAGTAAAGTTAAGTGGTTATTGTGAATTAATAAATGTAAACTTGTTTGTAATGTGAAATGTGTGTTCTGTTGCATAATTGTGTAAATATTGCAAATAATAATATTAATTAAAAATTTTTTTATGAAAATTGCAAATAATTTTTTAATTTAAAAAAGTTTTAAAGTAAATTTAAAATTAAAAAAAAGTCTTAAAATGTCTTAAAAAGAATTCCCCAAATTTTTAAGGTAAAATTGTTTGAAATTAATTCCTTAAACAATTTTTTAAAAAAAAATTTCCAAAAATTTCCTAGAAATCTTCCAAAATTCCTTAAAAAAGTTAAAAGCAATATGCAGCTTGGCACTCAACTTTACTTACATTAAGCGCCATTTATATAATTTGCAGAGCAACACTTACATCACTTAGGAAATACTTTTGCAGACCCCAACGCTTGTATGGTAGGTAAGTTAGAAATTAAAACTTACTATTTACTTGCTTTTAAGTATTTTTAAGTTTTTTAAGTATTTTTTTAAGTATTTCATATATGAAATTATATTTTTTAAGTATATATTTACTTTTTATAAATTATGAATTAGTTCTTTTTGTTTCTTATTGGTTAATATAATTTTGTCTAGTTCCTTTTTTGATATGCATATTCGTGTCGGGGAGGTTTCTGTAGACAAGGCTTTCTTAAATGCATTGGTTTATAAATTAATTTTTCTGAAAATTAATTTTTTAAAAAAATTTAATTATTTTTTAAAAGTTTAATTTAATACTAGACTTTACATTGCTTATTTCTCAAAAAACTTCATTGGTATTTTCCTTTTAGAACTTTAATTTTAATTGCTAATTTCTAAAGGCACCACTTTATTGGTATTTCTTTTTGGACATTCTTCACTCTTTACATTTGGTTTTGACTTTTACCCTTGCCCTCATGAATGACGAAACACGAACTGAATGATTGAAGAGTTAGGTTTGGAGGCAACTTCCACTTGATAAGTCTGTCTCCTGCCTGCTCAACAGTCATTCACTTATGCATTTAAAAAAAATTTTTTTTAGATTAATTTTAATTTGCTAAATTGGTGAATTTATTTTCATGGTTTCGTTTTGCGATTGATTTACTTATGCTCTCTGAATTTAAATAATATTGTAGATTAGTTTGTAGCGTTGCGCGCCTCCAACTTGCACGCAACCAAGAGGTGACTGTGAAAACTGGATAAAAGACAGAGTCTTGTTAAGGGTTTAAGTCCCTTTTTATTCAACGTAATAAATTACAAGTGCGTGCTCTTGACGCTCACAAACTGCGCCAGCAATATATATATATATATATATCTTTGAGAAAGGAAACAAAGTAGCTAGTTATATTCTGGTTGGTGTCAGTACACTATTACTTTCAGCTTTGAAACTGTAAAACCCATAGCTCATACAGATGATCAAGTTGAATTTTCTAAGCTAATTTTCTGGTTGAATAATTGCCATTTTAAATTATTCTGTTTAATATCCACCCATGAACAATCCAAACCTTGATTTAATTAACATCAGCAGAAGGATTATTGTAATTGGTGACTTCAATGCGCATTCCTAAAATTGGGTCTATAGTGACAGAGACCTGGCAGGAGATGCTGAAAACTTTTTGTTCTCTAACGTGGAGCTTGTATTCGATAAACGAGATCACCCTACATTCTTACATTGTAGTGGAGCTCCTAGTAACCCAGATCGTCTGTTGGTTTCCATAGATATTAGGTACATTACGCACAGAACTGTTATTGAAGACTGCAGTTGTAGACACTGTATGGTTCTGGTTCGGATTCTCATGGAAAAAAGATAGATTTCAACCAACACCCTGATAAAATGATTACTGGCATTAACAATATTATTATTAATGCCGCCAAGAGGTTAGCAGAAGGTTTTCCGTTGTTTTTTGACTGACTTCCTAACAGATCTTAAGAAGAATTGTGACGAACTCCCCGACAGAGCTAAAAAAACCAGCGATCCCCAGCTTACGAGGGACTAGCGAAGAAGCTCTACAGTCCTGAAAAGAAAAATAAATAAGGCTAAGAGAAATAAATAAAAATAAATAAGGCCTTTGAGGAATTTATATTTAACGTAAATTAAAAAGTTTTTAAAGGCTTATAAATTGAACAATATATGAACAAGCTCTGTTTAAAAAATTGTAAAAATACAAAGGATCCAATGAAATTAAACAGCAAATTTATATGTAATGATGGTTGTATTGCTGACGCCTTTGCAAAACATTTGCTTCAAAGCAAAGGAAATCAGGTTACATGAAAAAACTAGATAGAGATTTTAAAAGCTAGTACTATTTTTGGCTAGAGCTTCAGCGACTCGGCTGCAGAATTGTGTAATGCTAAGTTTACAGAATGTTAGCTAGAGTTGGCTGTTTTCCAGCTGACGGAGGATAAATTTTCAGAACTCGATTTTTTTTCTTAGAGTTTATTCATCATACCAGAAAAAAGGCGAAAAAGACGCTTTTGAAGTTTTTTATAATAAAATATGGTTTGGAACTAACATTGTTTCATCCTTGTGAAAAAAGGCCGCAATCATCCCTTTGTTAAAGAAAGATGAAAAAGCATCCGACTTAGTTACAGGCCGATCTCTCTGATTTGTACCTTTACAAAGTTAATGGAGAGACTTGTCATAAGCAAGCTACGATAGCATCTTTAGCCAAAGGGCCTTCTACACCCTGTGCAAGCTGATTTTAGGAAAAACCGATCTACTGGAGAACATGTAACCAATTTTCATGGAGCATTAAAAACTATCTTGATAACAGCAGTATCGTAGAACCTTTTTTGGGGGATTTTAAAAGTGCATATGATTCCGTCTGGGAAACAAAGCTCCTATACGAATTAGCCACTAGACATCTATCAGGAAATATGCTTCAGTGATTCAGTGATTTTCTTGGCCTTATAAATTCCCGTTATGACAGAAAGAAATCTAGCTTCAGGGCACTACATACCGGCCTTCCTCAGGGATTTGTGTCAAGTTGCTTACTGTTTGGCGTGTATGTTGATGACCTAATATGCTCCCTGGTTGAAGAGAATACTGAAGTACTTACATATGCAGACAATCTAGTCCTTTGGCCATCTAGTCCTAAATACAAATCTAAATAAAAACTTAAAAAGTTCCTAAACAGAGCCATGTCAAATCTTTAATACACACAAAAATCAGTTTATAAAACTTCTTCTTAAAAACTTGAATAGCTTTCTACGATTATATTCAAATTCTTTGGTTGAATTGTCGGACAGAGTTATATTCAAGGCTGATACTCTGACAGAAGTTTTTCAGCCTTCGCTATTCAGTAAAAGAACGTGTAGTGAATCAATTGTATAACCTTGTGATTATACAGATTATTCATCTCATCTATCAAAGAATAAAAAAAATGTGATGCTTCTTGTTTGTTTTGTTTCAGTATTATTGCTTCTCAAGTTCTGATTTCTGAATGGAAGTTTCGCATCAAGATTTCACATCATTAGGTTTTTTTCAAGGTTTAGATATTTTCTTCATATAAGACTACTAGTAAATCTTTCCTTTGCAACCACACATCTTGGAGAAAATGAACATCGGATAAAACCAACTGATAACGAAATTTTAAGATATTTTACTTGTCTTCGAATGCAATTTCAAAAAAAAAAAAAAAAAAAAAAAAAAAAAAAAAAAAAAACTGAAGAAAAACGTTTCATGTTTCAATAGTTTAGAACTGCATTATTTTCATTATCAAAAAATGAACGTGAGTGATGCTTCAGAATATCTAAAAATGGGGCTAAGTAATTTACACTGTGATATACATTTTGTGTACAGATTTGATTACTTATTGATTATTAATTATCAAAAAGAAATACCTTCAGTTACGAACTTTTGAAAGAACAATAATCTCTATGTTTAGGAGTTCATTTATATATGACTAGCATTTTTCGAAGTTGAAATTTAATAAGAAAAGAACCGGACTGACCAATAAGCATCTACAATTTTCGATGAAGATAGTTATTGACTGTAATAAATAATAATTCTAATGAAACTTTAGCAACATTTTTTATCTAATCAGATATAGAGAATATATATAAATTCGGTGCCTTAAAGTTCACTGTACCGAGGTTCGACTGTACTTCGTTGACAAGCGTGGCTGCCAGTGGCGAATGTTTGGCTTTCTTAAGTGAAATCTTAGGATCAAACAGACTTTCAAAAAATGAGGAAAAAATTCTTGACTCATTCTAAACAATTTAACCTCTCCGGGAATCTTTGCATTCGGAATATCTGATTGGTTTACTTATGCGAAAAACTAAACAAATTTCCGCAGAAAATGTCCGCGTATATCGGGGTGTGGTTTTTAGCGGGTTAAACCAACGTGGGGAGGAGTTCGTTTCTCGGAAAAGTTTCTTCTAGTATCAAGCACTTTTAGGCATGATAACTCCATTAGAATTGACGGAACAGAGAATGTTCGATTACGAACATCCCGATGAAGCTCTATAGTCCAGAAGAGCAGTTTGAGCTTTAGTCCATTTAGAGCACAAATATATTTCTCAACGAAACACCAGTTTTAATAGCTAGCATGGTGAGTATTTATTGCAGTTTTCTTAGGATCCTAAAAAAATATATAGAAGATGGTTAGCAGAACACTGCACAAATCTCCAGTTTACTTTAATGCGTTTAATGAAAGCTGAGAAAAGAGTAAACATTTTTCTGTCTAATACCAAAGCTGAAGACTAATATCTTAGAATTGTTCAGCTTAAGAGAATCTTATTTCCTGTGAGGGAGAACAGATCAGAAGTTTTTTTTTTACAATCCATAGGTTCCATATATACATTTTACAAGATACTTATCTTGATACATGAATATCTACTGATATTTTTACAATTCTGGTATCAATAACTGCAACAGAGAGACCTTCTAAGCTGAAATTGATAAAAACGTCTTTTTAATTTTTTGAGATAATTCACGAAGAAAAATTAAATTCCTTTGAATTTGTGTTTATATAAAAAAAGATTAAATCATTACAATATGGTAACATCATCTACGTTTTATGAAAAACGCAGATTTATAGTTTTCTTTTATAATAACTTCTAAATATTTAAAATTTTATGTTTTAATTACTAATTAAAGCTTGCTGTTGTTTCAAATATTAATATATTTAACTTATAAGAAGGTCTGACTGCATTTATCTCCTAGGACTCTCCAGCTGCTATTCCTGTGTCTAAATAAATGCAACTTTCCAAATGAAAAATCCTATAAAATAAAAACTTCATGCATCTTAAAATATTCGTTACATAATTATAATTGTTACAATAACAGCAAAAGAATTTTGGTATGCTTATGAGAAAACAATGCTATAAAAGGGCTATGTTATAAAAGTTTGGTAATATTATTCAAAATTTCTTTCTCCAAAGAAAAGTATCAAATTTTTCAAATTTTTTCAATCTGTCCATTCACACCATTCTTTGATAGCATAAAACATAAGGTGATAGCATATTTACTTTTCTTGATGTCATAAAATTCAAATATGATATATTTTAAGTAGAAATCCTGTGTATCCATATTGCTGCGATATTAAAATGCAAAAAATCTCCAAAAATTTCATTGTAAACTGAAATAATTATTTTTCAATTAAATCAAATTGTAAATGCTTACATCAGTAGGCACAAAAATGCAGTTTTCTCCAAGTTCGTCAGCAACGTTTTGCCCGTTCGAAGATGGCAAGTCACATATTACTACACTTGCTCCAATTCTCACCAGTCGCTCGGCTGTGCCTTTTCCAAGTCCTCCTGCTCCACCAGTAACAAGGACCACTAAGCCCTTCAAATAGCCAATTTAAATTAAAACGATAGAATAAATTACAGTTATCAGAAACAGGATACAGATATTTAACGAAAATACATAGAAGAAAAGCTAAAATTATGAGATTAAATTTCAGATACCTAAAAAGAATTTAAAATGCCCACTTAAGCAAAAAATTCAACGAAACATTGAACTAAAAAAATTTTGGACAGTGCGTCTGAACCCGAAATTAACAAATTTATAACACATACCTTAAATTCATTCATTTAATGGCAGCTAAATTATTCAATGTTTGATTTTAAAATTTAAGAAAAAATTGAAGGTTAAACTAATATATTCGAAAAGTGCTAACTAATTTGTCAAATAAATTTTATGACACAAAAGGATCTGCTTCAGAAGTTAATGGATTTAGAATTATAATTGTGGGAAAACTAATATATATGTAGGAGTTAAAGTACATTCTCTGTCCTAGGATAATTCAAAGTTGCATGAAAAAAGAAAAAACTAAACATAAGCAATTTAAAAGTAAAAGTTTGAGAGAGAACTATGCATTTATGCACTTTTGCATTATTTTCAATTGTTTGCATGGTTTGTTGATTAAGGCAATGTAGGCGAACGCTATCGACCTAAGGCGAGGAAATGAAGGACTCGTATTCACATAGTATAATTGTATGTATTCACATATGAAGGACTTGTAAGGGAAACTGACTTGTATTCACATTACAATCCCTTCTCCGATACTTGAACCCAAATCGAACTGGCACTGTTCAAAGATCTTAACCAGGCCACCAGTAGATCCAACTTAAAATTTTCACAAAAAAAAAACTAGTTTCTAAGCTAGAAGCTAACATTTTCGAAAGGCATTAAATCTCAGTTTTATAAGGCTATTATTATTTTGCATAGATTTGTCATGCATGTATTTGTCATGAAAAAAACTTCATTTCTACTTCATGAAAAATTTTATGAAAACTTGAAGTAAAAAGGTTGTAGGTTACGTTAGGTTATTTGAATATAGAAAAGCACGTGTGAGTTATCTACTTAGTATAAGCAATGCCTTTGTGAAAGACCTTTCTAAAGTAAACTACCTTGTGTCCTCGTTACATATTAAAAAAAATAATTATTTTTAAATAAATAAGAGTAAATGCTTCAGCAATATTTTGCCCATTTGAAGATAGCAAGTCACATATTACTATATTAAGGGTTTTGTATAATGTATTTTATAATGTAAACATTTTGTATAATGTATTACATTAAACATTTTGTAGGTATTTGAACCTGAAATTTCAATATATTATTTTATTTAGTTAGTTTAGTTTTCTCATTTAAACTATTATTTCAAGCTAGTCGACGAGTCCCCTCAATAACAAGAAGGTTGTCTTCAATGGGAACTTTTTAGAGGAACATCAAATCTTTCCCAACAGTAGCAGCGTCTCACCATTTATGCAAAATGGCCTTTTGTGTAGCCATTGCTTATATATATTATGCTAAATAACGCTGAGATTCGTCCTATGTTTAAGGATATCTAAACAAAAGATAAATTTTAAATAAGATATAATTAGATAAATAAATTATTTATTATCTAATTATAATCTTATCGCATTTAGATAAATTTTAAACAAATATGCTTATTCTCATTACATTATGTCTATTTTAGCCACATAATTCTTTTATGCCAGTATGTGGCGTATTTTAAAAATTAATTACCTGATATTCAAAGTGTTCAGACATCATATTCAAAGGTATCTTTGCTGCAATGCGTATACTTAAATGTTCTGAATATGTTATTATATCATTAGAAATGGTTTAATTAAATTTTAAAATTCTTGTATACTTTAAAACAGGGTTTCTTAAACTTTTTTCTGTCGCGATCCTTTTTTATCACTGAAAATTTTTCGCAACGTCCAGGACCCCATTATATTTATAACTTTTGTGGGAACCCATAAGCATTGCGCAAATCCAACACAAGCGTGTGTGAAACTGTCAATTGTTTCACTTGTACTGTAATATACTACTGCAGGTTTAGGTCATAAACTTTAATTGCTAATTTTAAGACATAAAACAATGTGAAAATTTTAAATAAGTAACAGACGAAATGACAACGTCACGTGCAAAGCAAGTAAAATGAACGTTTCTACTTTAAAAAATATTCTACGAAACGTTTTACTTTTTTCTTTGTGTGTATTGTCTTATCTTTATCTATTTTCAAATACATTGTGTAATAATATTTGGTCATTGTAAAATTATTATAATAAGAAATATCAAAACTGTTAAAGCCAGTTTAAGAAACGCTGCTTTAAAATTATCTGTTCAAGCTTTTGTTTATTTCTTGGCAGTGCGCATAGATCAAGAAGCGAAATCATGAGATAATCAGTTTTTTCCTAAAATCAAAATATTTAAGCTAGATTTATTTTAAGAATATATGCTGAGATTTTGCAATTGATAAAAATTCGGATTATTTTCTTTCTAACGTAATAATAAAAATTTTTATAATTATTTATTTGGAAACTTCCACTTCTTATCTAAAAAGGAATTTATATGTGTAATACATGCCATGATAATCTTTCGCTTTACACTGTTTTTGTCAATATTGCATTAGAAATAAGATTTTGAAAATTATTCATTTCGGAAGAACATTATAATAGCTTTTGATCAACAAGATTTTTATCAAATTAAACTAGTATAGTCCTCAATAAAATGTAACTTTAATGTTTCAATGCTTTAACGCGTTATATGCTCCACTGAAAATATTTAATTGCTTTAAATGTACAAATATATATATATTTCATCATTCAAATTTTATCAATCAAAGTTTTACAGTATTACGTATATAAAGTTTTCTCTAGAACTGTCCCCATTATTGATCAAACGCCAAAATCATACGAACTGTCAACCATGTTGAAAACTAATTCTATGGAGTAACAGCATGAGATGATGCTTCGCAGCTGAGCAATGATCAACAAAGAATTTTCCGAGTACTTTTAATAATAGAAAAAACTATAATTTTCTCATACAATTACATATATGTACATATGTATATTATTTGTAGAGAGGACGAAGTTAAACATTTTATTATTCGCACATTAACTCTTAGGGGCGGCCGAGCGGTCGCTGAACACTGGTAGTTCGGTCCGAGGTTCGAATCCCGCGAACGGGCTGGCTGCATGGGCGTTTTCGTGGTTTTCCCCATGTGTAACGTGTATACGAGCCAGTTTCCCTTAGAAAGTCCTCCACGAAAGGCATCCCTCCCCTTAGGCAGATAGCCCTAGTGTGCTTTGCCATAATTAAATACACACACCATTAACTCTTAGGGAACAAATCTAAAACAAATACAAAATTGCTTGTGTTTTATACTCTAACCATCGAATAAGTAGTGAGTCTATGCTTATTATGCCATTTTAATTCTAAACTTGTAATTTTTCTAAGCTTTTAAATTTTAAATATGCTATAATTATTTAAATTACTTTTACATAGTAATAAATCATATATTAAGATAGCACATATTTTACGGAATCAAAATAAAAATTTATGCATCATAATTAGTAAGAATTGCAAAACTGATGAATTTTAAGATTTGAAGAGAAAACTCCGTTTTATAGCAATAAAAATCAAAGCATAATTTAACTCGAGATTATTATTTATTTATATTGCTTTTAAATTAAATTACCACGAAAGTAATTACAGCAAAATTCCATCTCTAAATCCGCAATGTTAGTCATTATACTTGTAAACGTAAAAGTTATATAAATTCTCTCTTTAAAAAAAAAAGCATAAAATATTAAGAGTTCATCAAGTTATAGTCCTAAAATATATTAACTTGGATATATTTCCGTCAAGCCAGACACAGTTAAACAAAATAATTTCATTTAACAGTTTTTACAAACGAAGTTAATTTTATATCGTACAAATGAGACGCAGTTTTCTAGTCTAAAAAAGGAATATATCGGGAAAAATGTATGAAACCAAAGAAAGTTAGTAAATTCATAATAGATGTACTTTAAAATGAAATACGCGAAATTTACTTTTTCAGTAAGTCCTGACTTAAGAAGAGGACTGAATGTTCTCAAATACTTTCATATTATGTATAAAATTAGCATAAAATTTAAGCAAAGCTAGAATAATTTTCGATTATGTTTCTTTACGCTGAGATATAGTTTAATGAATGTTTCTTTCTACCTTACCTTTACATTTCTTATCGTGCTGCTCATAATGATAGACTTGCTCTTCAAAAGGGAAGAGAATTAAAAGATTCACTGAAATATTTATAAGTAGGCGACTAAGATAAGTATTAAGTGATAAAGGATAGATTTGTGTCGTTTTTAACCTTCATATGAAATTTAATTCTGGGGTTGCTAAGCAACGCGAGCTATCCAGATAAATGAAGGTCAATTTTCGAACAAAGAACTTTAGATTAAATAAAGCGGGAGAGAACGACAGCATGATATCAGCAGAATATGAAGTCAGTTTTTGATTGTCCAACATTGGTTTGAAGGATCACAATCTAGCCTGAGAAAATTAAATTCGGAACAATAACTGCTGTTTGTTATTACGTTCTATGCAGAATTTCAATTCGACGATGAATCTGTATAGATACATTCCTGTGCTAAAATAAAACTCCCAATACTTCATTGCATTTTCTTGGTATACTCAAACAGGGATGTATGCAACTATCTTGTCTGTCCGTATTCCCATATGTGAGGCGGAAATGCTAGTACTATTTGTTGGTAGCTTATATTATCTTGCCAAACTATCATATGTGACATTACATATGTTTTTCACTGAATTGCCTAATAAAAAGTTTTTTAAGAGAGAATTTCGAGGCTTAAAAATAAAAATTGTTTTAGAAAAGCGAAAATTTTTAGAAATAAGAAATACGAGGAGTTATGTAGGAGTACCACTTAAAAATGCAAGAATTTTACCAAACTTTATTAAAAAAATAAATATATAAACTTTTCATGTCTAATTAATCCTTGAAATTTAGAATGCAGGTAACAAAGTTAAAAGTTACATTACTGTAACTTTTAACTGTTACTGTCCTCTCTGAATTTCAGCTTACAACTCCCTGCCAGAACGTATTTTCAGAATCGCGGTCAAATGCAAATGAGGAGAAAAAGTATTTAACTGTGAAGTTCTACTGACTTCGTTAGAGAGCTAGAGATTGTATACAGCGCGCGTCAGCCTTTTGGCTATACTCTCTCTAAAGCTATTTTTACGCTCGGCCGTACCTTAGGCTCCTGATAGCTTCTCCGTTAGTTAGCGTTAAGGGGATAACTCTGTTAGAATCTTGATATCTTCGGCTCTATCTTTTTAATTAAGATTAGTTAACTTTTATTTCTTAGTTTTCTGAGTTCAAGCCCGAGTGGAGGCTTTATTGTAAACTCCAAGAAGGAGTCTTCTATGAACTTTATTTGTAATAATATAGGATATTTAACCCTTCTTGAGTATCTGTTCTCTTTCTACCTAACTAAAGCAATTATTCGCTTATCAGTTAAGGTTCCTCAACTTTAACTTAAAAGAAAGGAATCTTACGTTTGGCTCTCTAACGAAATCAGTAAAACTTCCAAGCTAAATACTTCTTCTCCTCATTTGCATTTGACCGCGATTCTGAAAACATGTTCTGGCCGGAAGTTGTAAGCTGAAATTCAGAAAGGACAAGAAAGTAACTTTTAATTAAAATTAACTGATAGATACATTAAGATAAACCTTACAACGTATTGATGAAGTTACTTTTTAATCAATTCTATTCAATTATTCCATATGAATTAGAATCAAACAGTTCATAACTGTTTTACAAAACTTCAACCGATGGTGATATAATTCGTTTCAACAGTGTTCGCTGGATCAATAAAGATCTTCTTTAAACAAAACAAAAAGAAGCAATCATTTTAATCGAATATGTATGGCTAAGACTTAGCCATTCTATATCCCAAAGTACCATGTGATACTTTATTCTAAAGTTCTATTTATAAAACTTCAAAATTAATTCATTTTTGATGCAAGGAAATTGAAGTCTGAAGTTGAAAAGAAGGAAGGGATAAACTTATTAACAAATTGTACACGCATTCCTGTCGAGCTTGAAGATTGATTCAAAGGCAACTAACAACAATAAACTAAGGTTTTCGTTCCATATTAGTAAAAGCTTTCAGTAGCCTTTCACTCTGAAAGGTTTCAACATCAACTATTAACTAGATTACACTTTTTAACTTTTTAACATGGATGCTACAACTGCCTGATGGCGGCACCTTTTTTTTAATAAAAGTCTCTCTGCTGAAGGTTAGTGACCACAAACTGTTGATTTTAGGAATATCCTACTAGCTGACTTTCTCATTTCACGGATTACTTTTACGACTTTTTAATTACAATTTTGCACAGTTAACTCAATTCGGAACGCATTAAAATGCAAGCGTCAATTTTTTTTTTTAAATTCGGAGCAACAGCAACAATTCAATCAGTGCCCCCCCCCCGTCTAATAAAGTACTGCATAAGTTTATATCGCTGGAATTATGGTAGTGATTCTTCATCTATTGCGAAATTTTGCAACATTCAAGTATTTTAGGCTAAGTTAAGCTTCATTTGCACCTTCTTACTTTTTGTTCTCTATTTAATATAGTGGATGTATTAAAGCAACACACTTTGATTTCTTTTTGATTCATTCAAATAGTACATGGGTGGCAGCGCTAGCAGGCGAACGGTGCGGCTCTTATGGAAATATATATATATATGAAATATGGTATACTACTATATGTCCAAAAGGAAGGAATTAATTTTTTTCACGGAATTAATTTATTGAAGTTATTAGTAAACTTAAACTGATCAATAGCAAACGTATTTATTTTATTTCATTTCTTGTTAGTTAAGAGGCTTAATAATTTTATTCAAAAGCATTGAAAAGTATTGTACAAATTCTCTAAAACAGCTCTATAACGAAAAATCTTGAAAAGTTAGATTTGTTTGTGGAGGCTTTACGAATGGATGGATGGATGCTTTACAGTGTCTGCTAAATTTCTGTTTCATTAGGAGCGGTAGAAACTAGTATATTGGAACGGCTGTGAGTAGACTAGAAAACGCATGTAATGCATTGCAGAATTTGATACAAGTTATAAGGTATTTTCTCCTTCCCTCCAGCATACCTTCATGGTGTAATGGTTAGCACACTCTTCTCGTATTCCATAGGTCCAGGTTCGAGTCCCGGCTAGGGCATTGCTTATTTTTCAGGTCCCCAGCTGCAAAATAACCTAATGATTCTATTTTGGAGCCCAAACTAAACGGGCGGTGGATGATGGTTTTTCATCACCAAAATTTGGTGACTGAGTCTCCTAATTCCCAGTCGCCCTTTAAAAGGGGTAGTATATAATGTATTTTCTCCCTCCTTCTAACATGCCTTAGTGGTGTAATGGTTAGCACACTCGGCGCGTATTCGAGAGGTCCAGGTTCGAGTCCCGGCCAGGGCATTGCTCAATTTTTCACGTCTCCAGCTGCAAAGTAACCTATTGTTTCTACAAAGTTAGAAACAATGTTGGATTTGATGCCGAAATTGATAAGAAATTTATGGCAACTGGAAGCTTTGGAAATTTCTAATAAATCTGTTGAGAATTAAAGCTTAGAAGGCAATATTATATTAGAAAATTTCGAAAACTCGTAAAATTTGAAAGCAACAGATACAGCTTATTTGCCATGGAACGAACATGTAGTGGAATAACAGGATAATTTTGAGGTAGCTGAAAAACTATTTGAGTCACTGTGGCGCAGATTCAAGAAGAATTCGAATTTCATGAATATTACAAGACTGTGCTAAATCAACATTTATAAGACAATATCGCGGAAGAATCGTAATATTTAGACACTAAAAACGAGTACTTTTAATTGTATCAAGCTGTAATTAGAGAATACAAAGACACCACAAAACTTCCTCATCATCACATGCTAAAGGCAAATTATCATTGAATGACTGCTTAGGATCAAACGTTTCTTTCCATTTGAAACCTCTTTCAATACTTTTAAAATGATATAAATATGGACCTGTTGCTTTTGAGAAACATAGTTTCGGCTCTTAAACGTTTCTGAATTCTAATATGTGACTGTTACTGAAGTTTGTATATCCCTTCTGTATTATATCATGTGTGATACATTTAGTAATCAAGCTATGTGAAATGGTTTAACGACTAAATAGTAGCTTACGCCTTAAAATGATCGCTTATTGATATTTTGATGAATTTTATAGACTGGAAATTTCAAATTTATAGTCTTATATATTTTATTTTATAACTAGAGATTTTAGCGAAGTGTTTATCGTTTTGAACACAAACAAGAGTGTTTATCATTTCGAATATTGATACCATATAATGTATAGCATTGCATAAAAATCAGGAAAAAATTATATTTTTAAAATATAAGTGGTGGTGTAGTAAGTTTTACTGCCGCTAAAACTCTAAAGGTTATTTGCGCCGAATACATGTCAGTTGTTTCCTTACACAAATGAGGCTTAAACAAAACAGACGAATATACAAGATTAAAACCATGGAAATACATAAAATACAAAGAAGCTAAAAAATGATGGATGCTAAGATGAACTTTCTTATAATGCAGGTGATTTGTACAGGTGTAAAATCCTAAAACATGAAATATGTTAAAATAGATATTCTTAAGATAACAAGATACAACATCAAGACAAAATCAAATTAAATAATAAAAACCTGACTCTTTCAGGTATTGAAATAAATTAGTATTCACCTGTTTCCCGATTAAAGGGTCAAGAGGCAAGTCATATTCGTTAAAATGTTTCAACCGAAGTCTTTTAAAATATGGACACTTTTAACTAAAAGATGATGAACTGAGATGACTGCATTACAGTGGGAGCAAATTGGTTCACACTCTGCTTTTAGTAAATAGTCGTGGGTAATTCGCCAGTGAACCATTCTAAGTCGATTAAGGAGAACTTCCTCCGGTTCCTAGTAGTATCCCAGTATTCAATTCTAATGTTCACACTTCTTAACTTATTATCTACCTGACCATCCCAGTATTCAATTCTAATGTTCACACTTCTTAACTTATTATCTACCTGACCATCCCAGTGTTTCTGCCATTTATCTAATATTTACAACTTAATAACTTTCCTGACATCGTTAGGAGGGGCATCCCAACTGTACAAAACCGACTTTGCTCTTGCGTCTGCTCATTACCTCTTATGCCTGCATGCCCTGTATCCAGCAGTACAAGACTTCCTACCCACAGTGCCTTAAATTTAGATCGAGAATGATGACAGCTACTATGGAAGGGTTCTGGGCATCACTAAATGCTTCTAATGCGTTTAAGGCACTA